TATTACTCTCCCCTTCCGTACTATTTAAACACTTCTCTTTCCTTTCCCTCATTTTTTTCCTCATCATCTCTCCTCTCTCCCTCATTTTTTCCCTCATCATCTCCCCTCTCTCCCTCAGCTTTTTCTTTCTCATCATCTCCCCTCTCTCCTTCCTTTTTTTCCCTCATCATCTCCCCTCTCTCCCTCATTTTTTCCCCTCATCATCTCCCCTCTCTCCCACAGTCTTTTTTTCCTCATCATCTCCCCTCTCTCCCACAGTCTTTCTTCCCTCATCATCTCCCCTCTCTCCCTCAGCCCATGTTCCCTCTTCTCCTCCCCTGTTTTCTTCATCTCGTCCTCTTCTTTATTCCCACTTCATTTTCCTTTCCTCCCTCCTTCCAACCATACTCTTCCCCATTACCCCTCCATTTCTCTCAGTGTCCCCTTACCTTTATGATGCCATCCCCACCATAACCTCCATTCTTTTTCTCCACGCTCTCTCTTTTCTCCCCCATCTTTAATTCTCTTCTCATCACCCGTTCCTTCTCCTCCTCCTTTGCCTCGTCCGCTTTCTTTCTCTCCTGCACCTTGCCACCTCATCGTCACCATCTCTACCGTCTTCTCCTTCTCTGTCTTCCAGATTTGTTCTTCTCCTCATCCACCCTTCATGGCTTTCCCCCTCTCCCTGTCCTTCCTCCCTTTTCCCCATCCCCATTGACAAGCGTAGATAAGACTGAGAGATAGCTAAGGTTAAGAAGCTGCCAAATCAATACTAATCACGGATCAGCCGTACTACGATGACGTAGGAACAAAAATAGCTCTAGAAACAACGATGTTAAAAATAATTCCTCTATCCAGCTTATATAAATAATATCTTCACTCTTTCGTCACCGAATGAAAATTTACTTAAACTAGCAAAAAGCATGTTTATTTGCGTTGGTTGGAGTGTATTTTTGAGTTAGATGAACGCGACTTATACTACGTATAGTCTTTATTTGTGTCGGGGTAAATACTTGATTACGGAAAGAGAAGACAAAAATAACAACGTTTTTTTTCTTAAAGTCAGGGTTTTACGTCACAGGCAACACAAAAATAGATAGTATAAAGTGTTACTTGAGAGTAACACAAATAAAGGAAAAAGGCCAGATATACCATAATTTTTTTATATTTTTTATGACAGATGTTTCGTAGACCAAAAGACACAAACCACACCAGAACACGC